ATTGGTCACTGAATTATTGTTTAGTTTTTTGCTTCATTCATATTTATTCCTGCTGGAGGGGGAGCAAACAGGAATGGCCAAGTCAGTGTGCTCAATCCACCTTTTTTTTTTTTTATACTACTCAAGGAAACCAGCTTTGGCTCTTCCTTTATTAATTTTATAGCCCACATGACAAATCACACAATTCACAAGTTAGATTGCTTTTTCCATAGACTAAATGAAATTAGTAGACAAGACCAGCTGAAACTGATGGAGGAAAAAATGTTTGTGTCCATCATAACACATGAAACAGGACTGTTTCACTACATGGAGTATGAAAATATACACTAACTCATTTCTCTGCTCTGATTTTTTTTTTTTTAGGAGTTCAGAGATAACATCTTTCAAGACCCCAGTATTTCTTTTAATTTCATATGCCATTTTTTCACATGTATTTATGGCTGAAAGATCAATTAGAATTCCTTTGTGGGAAGTCATTCCCATCAGTTCAATTACTCCATGTAATTGTTTCAGCAATCATAGTTAAATACCCATTTTAATTTTTATTTAGAGACTCAATTATCAAGCAGATGTAAACACTTTTAAAACTTTATCTTGTCTCCCTCCTACACCTTCTTCCCCAGTACAAATACCATTTTACCCCTCAGCATTCTCTAAATCATAAAAATGCACATGTAGTTATTTAAAACCTCCATGTAACCCCTAGTGCTCGCTAATGCTTCTTTCCCAAACACTCTTGTTGAAGACCAGCCCATCGTGGTTTATTAGACATGAGAGTGGGGACAGAGACACTCCTATCTGCTTCCATCCCACATGCCCTACAGCTCCGAAAGCCTTCACAGATTCATCTGTGCCCTATCCCGCCCTCTGCCTTTCAGGTGGAAAGGAATCCCAGTTACTGATTTATCAGGAAGAATTCTGTTCCGTGGTGCTTTTACATATCTATTTCAATCAGCAGCTGATCCATTTGGAGCTAGTGCTCTCATCTTTCCCCAGAGCCTTTCACAGATAGCCCCTTTCATACAAACGCTACTAGTAAGTATTGTAATTCAATGCTATTCTTGCATGCAATTCACTAGACTTCAGCGAGATACCTGTCAAACAAGTCAATATTTTACACTCCAACTTGAATTCATTTTTTACAGTGTATCAAAATGCAAATTTATTTTTTCCTCTTAAGAGTCACAATAAGGAGAACCAGCCTAGAAATGGGAACACCTAAATGAAATGGCAAACCAGTGGTTGCAAGAATGATCAATTTATCTCCTGAAGTCCAGAGATAGCAAATGTCATCAGAACATCTAGTTACAAGTGCATTAAAACTCCCCAAAGAGAAAGAAAATGCAGAGTTCGTTAAACATTTATAGGTACCTCCGAGTTTCAGCTGCTGCACTTTCCCTAGAGCCTTTCACAGATAGCCCCTTTCATACAAACGCTACTAGTAAGTATTGTAATTCAATGCTATTCTTGCATGCAATTCACTAGACTTCAGCGAGATACCTGTCAAACAAGTCAATATTTTACACTCCAACTTGAATTCATTTTTTACAGTGTATCAAAATGCAAATTTATTTTTTCCTCTTAAGAGTCACAATAAGGAGAACCAGCCTAGAAATGGGAACACCTAAATGAAATGGCAAACCAGTGGTTGCAAGAATGATCAATTTATCTCCTGAAGTCCAGAGATAGCAAATGTCATCAGAACATCTAGTTACAAGTGCATTAAAACTCCCCAAAGAGAAAGAAAATGCAGAGTTCGTTAAACATTTATAGGTACCTCCGAGTTTCAGCTGCTGCATGCGTAGCACGATAGTTACCTCCCAAAGCAATACCCGCTCTGCTCTCAAATCTTTGTATTATCACCAAGAACTATTTAACTTAAGTGAATAAAAGGTTCATCGTACCTTCCCCACTGACTACTTTAAAAAAAACAAAACCCAAAACCATTAACAGCAATGCTTTGTCCAACCTAGGAAAACATGAGCCCACCCACAGGGACTGTAGTTGCAGCTATGGGAAACACACGCAGCCACTGTTTTACAGCACGCCTCAGGTAAAACCAGTTAAAATTGCCAGTATGGCTTTGTAGTATTTATAGAGTAATGTTATAAATCAGAAAGAACAACTATCACCATGTTAACACATTAACTTTGCTGTAAGACTCTCAAAGCTGAGCTTTGCCTGGTTGCCTTAGTGATCTCAATAAACACACTAGGCAACTTGCTTTCATGAGCTTTTATCTCTGATAAAGGCACCCAAATTAAAAAGTCAGGCTGCAGGATGAAGTTGACACTCAGGTATCATGATGTCTTCTGGGTGACTGCACACTTGAAAAGTCTTATTCAGAGCTATTTTAACTGCAAAAACACCTCAGTCCTGGGCACAGCAGCCAACCTCACATTTTCGGCAGGAATAAGAAAAAAAGGAAGAAACCATATCTCTTTGCCCAACCCCCCTTTTACCTACCTGCACAGCCAAAAGCTAGGTGATACCTAGAAGAGGGGCTGAATTTGACACAACACACATTAGCCTTGGCCTCGATGCTTGCTACTGAGTTGTCCAAGTTGGTAGACCACAGCTTCACTAGAGAAATAGAAAAAGATAAATGAGTAAACAACAAACAACAACAAAAATCAACCTCATCTGAAAGGCATAAAATCTAATTATTTCATAAATAAGACTCTGAAAAGCCTCAGTTGCCAAGATGTGATTATAAAGGCTCAGTTGCTGCTGATGGCTGGTAAGCTTGAGAACATCCTCAAGCGTGCACTGTAAATATTTTGCCCACTTCCATACACACAGGAGATGCTGAAAGTCCGCATCCTGCATGGCTAAGAACATCAAAGCAGGTGACTAACAACATGTTAGAATCTCAGCATTTAAGGCTACTGGACCACAGATTCATATAACCAAGAACAGGAAGGCCTGCATCCCTTTTGTTCCTTGTCCCTTAGCTGGGATGCAGGAACTCCATGCTCCGCAGCAGAACTGCTTTGCACAGAATAAATATACCTAATTGTATGCTTGAGCACAGTGAGTGAGAACAACTTGTTTTATTCTCAAGAAACTGGCACAGACAGGAAAGAAATCAGTATGCTGGCTTCCTGTGATGATATATTTCCTTGGTACAAGGAACTCTACTGTTCTATGAGACTACCATGTGAACATTGATCAAGCTTTGTGGTACAGAATGAGCTCTTCCCCCGAATACTCACTTCAGTGCTTCACACAACAGCCAACAGAAAACATCAGCGGCTTTCCAAAATACAGCCTTCCCCACCCTCTACAAACACTTCCAGTATTATTTAACCTTGAAGACGAAGAGTGCCACGTGCTCCCCACATAGCCAACCTTACTATTAAAAAGCTACAGATGAAACACTTTGCCCTTAGTCCAGGTGAAGGGGCAGCAGACTGGCATCAAGCCCCAGTGATGCCTGCAAGGCAGACTTAAATAAGACTTACATGTTCTCCCTTCCCCCTTTTCTTGATGAGTGGGTTCTGCTGTACTTGAGTATCATGATCAGTGTGCTGAGGCAGGAAGCAGAGCAAACTGAAGCCAATGTCTGAACACGCAAGAGCTACATGAAAGCTTAATCCCCTAAACAGCTGCAACAAGCTGCCTGGACCTCTTCAGATCTGTGGCCAATGGGTCCTCTGCTGTCTTTTTACAGAAAGATCACTTTGGAGGTGAAGTGAGCAAAATGGCAAAAGAACAAAGAATCTTGTTACCCACTGTGGTCAATAAATGAGGTAAGCAGGTCTTATGGTGTGTCCCCCCACCCTCTGAGTACCCCTCTGTATCACCTCTTGGTCAGTTTTTCCCAGGAGCTTCAAAGAAGCAGCAAGGCTTCCACATGGATTACTCAAGGATGCTTTAGATGGTCAAGGAAAAGGAGAAACACTGACAGGTTCATTCCAGTGCACCTACTTTTTAATAGTGCGTTTTAATAGTATGGCAAGCAATGAAAAGCAACAAGACTGTGCTATTTCTGACCATACCTAGGAGAACTGCTTCAAGGATGAAGGAAATACGTGACTGCTCAGAGCTTACTAAGGAATCATTTTAAATACAGCACTGTGTGGGTATCTGACACCTGCCTGGAACCATTATAAAGCAGCACACACATACACCAGAAATACAAACACTGACGCATACTGTATTTGCATATAAGCATTATGTAAAATTCAATGAAAACAGCACCCACCCTGTTGTTGGTTTTCAGAAATAAAATCCATTCTCATTTACCACAGCTATAATATTCATCCTAAACATCTAGCTACATTTCTAAATGAAACCAACAGCTTTGCAAGCATGGCTTAAGATGCTCTCTTCTCCCAAGTGAGACTGGATGATATACCTTCTCCATCGTGTTTTGCACTTGGGGGCGAGGAGGGAAACAGAGCCAGGAAAGACAATTTTGCAAAACAATAAAACATTAGCATTTTGCTTTAACGAACAGACACCAGGAGATGTACAGTCTATAAGTTGCAGTGGCAGTAGAGGACATCAAGTTTATGGATGAGATGGTATAGGAAGCAAATAGTACCATGATTACAAGAGGACAGTCTTGGCAGACAACATTGCTTCAACTTGAGGCATGCGGGGAGGCTACATGATCTCACAGTTCAGAGCGATGTTCTGCCCAAATCTAGTACTAAAACCACACAGGCTTGTCTTGAAGCCTTCCAACCAGGTATCAATATTTAAAGTTGCATCCAAAGCGGCCAAGTCTCTCCTTGACACCACCTCCAATAAATGAATGGCCATCTGTTCTCAGTTTTGTAGCAAAAGCTAATTGAGGGCTCATTTTCAACTTGGCTCCTTTTTTCATTCAAGTTTTCAGGTCATAAGCAGAGCCATTTAACCTGGTGAAGAGTCAACCTGCACGTTCAAAGCCATCATAATATTTGTTACAACTGACAGACACAGATTAGAGTCTGCAATTTCTGTGATCTAACTGCTGTGGGATATGCTGGGCTCCAATTATATCTTAGTCAGTGCCATAAAAAAAGGATATATGCGACATATAACAACGCATAATGAAACATGTCAAGTTTTACCTGGAACTGCCCATTATTTTTTAAAAAGAACTGACAGGTTAATAAAGCATAATTCGTAAGGGTAGAGTTTATTTGCTATAGCTTTCAGCAATTTTGCTGAGGTCGAGGCAGTAATTATACAATGTACAGATGTCTTGATAACACTTAGAATTGTGTTGATGAGACAAGCAACCATCTGAGATTGACTAGTTCTAAAACACATCTTCTCAAAGCATATGTTTCCTAATTTTACAGCTGCTGAGAGAGACATCTCTATGTAGCCAAATGTCTACCCCTCACCAAACAAGTAAGAGGATGCCTCCAGAACAGGCTTTTCTGTTTAAAATATTTAGGTCTTTTCAAGATATTTTTTATTTGGTTGGAGCTTTACACCAGATATGTAGGTTTATAAATTAATTTTCTATATATCAGTTCTGTGTCTAAATACTGACTAAAAGAGGCGTAAGCCTGTACTGCAATAGCTGAAGGTGTTGATGTACACAGCTGGTACACTGATAGTAAGGATATTTCATCCAGCCTGTCATTCTTTAAAGTCTTATCTGGTCATGTGATGGAGAGGCTGCTGTTACTCTGAAAAAACCTGTAAACCAGGAAAAGGATACTGCTACCAGAAAACTCGTTTGCACAGATCTGAGGAATCCCTGGGAAAGAAGGAAGCTGCTGAATTGTCTCTGCTAAGCAAAATTTTTGATCCACTGCCTTGTGCATGCCAGGAGGATGATGTAAACTGATGACTGTTAGCAGGCAATGACCGCAGGGTATTCCTCCTTGCGTAAGACACAGCCAGACAGATATTTTGGTTGGTATTTTAACTACCAATATCTTCTTGACCTTTCAAGGTATTCCCAACTGAATCCAACAACCCCAAAAATCTCCAGGATATTATCAAACTTCTTTTAGCCAGGAAAATGAGCAAACTGAAAGTTCAGCCTGATATTTCAAGAGCAGTAAACACCTATACCTCCAGTTAAAGTCAGCAGAAGCTGAAAGAACTAAGTATCCCTGAAAATGAAGCCCCAAACAATTCTCTGGAAGTCCTCAACAAAGCTGAGGAGCAAACTCTGATCTGCAGTTCTCAGGCTAGTTTCCTCTCTAGAAGGCCATGCTTTTTTATGAAGCCAGCTCTGCAAATCTGTGTTGCCCCCCTGAATTCAGGGACACTATAAAAAAATAGCTATAGGACTGGTACCAGTGGTCTCGCTTACCAAGGCAGCATAGAAATTACTTTCCTTAGATGTAATGAAACAGATGCCTGCATTCCTCCTTGCTGTGAGACAATGAAAAGTAACCACTTGCTACGGCTCAGAACCATCAGGTGCTCCTGTTCTGCTCCACCTTTCCATTTTGAGCTGGGAATAGTGAAGGGACTACAGCTTACAGAAAGGATATAAAACCAGAACTCTTTCTTCAGTTGAGTTTATCAGTACTGCTTGTATCTCCTTGAGCTTCAGAGAGCTTCAAAACCAACTCCAGAGCAGAGAACAAATGTTTGATCACTCCAAAACAGGTCTCTACCCCAGTGGAGACTTAAATTCTACCCACGTGGCATTACAAAATATTTTTGCTCTATCTCACCTGCTAACTTTACCATGGCCATTAAACTACATTCCTAATCCAGAACAGACAGGGATGTTGGGTTGAGAAGCAGCTGTAAGTCATTAGCTAAGTGCACTAGCTCCAGCCCCATCCATGCACTTTGATGGCATCATTTTGCCTTCACAAAATTAAATAATCTTTTCTCCTCCAATAGCAGAAATTCACCCTTTCCTACTTACATGAGAATCATAGCTCCTGCTGCTATTATGTGCATAAAAACTGAAATTAAGACTGTGCCATTTCCCCAAGCTGCTTGTAGCACAAGTAAACACTTTAATTTTGCTCACTGCTGTCTAGTCTGAGTACACCATTAGGTCCCTATAGACGTACACAACTACCTTAGCCCCTTTAAAAGGGAAAGGCATGACAACTGTAGATAAAAGTGAGGTTTTCATACACACGGTAGTTACTTCAAATACAATAATGCTTTTATGCTCTCATCTGCTATTAAAGTAAAAAGATCTTCCACAAATAAGCATCCTGGATTATCTTCATCTAATGACGAGGACAATGCAGGACCTGAGGCCCAAGGATGCTGTTTCTAATTGTATCAGAATCATTTTATCCCTAATAGCACTCCAATCGTTAACACCCCCTTTGCTGTCCCCGAGCCTTGGCAGAGACAGCTGTGAAGCACTGATGCTAGGATTCCTCATCTAAAAGCTCCTTCCTCAACACATGCCGACCAAGCATACTAAGTGCTTTAAAAATTAGCTTCCAACTTGAGAAAACCAAGGAGAGACAGGCAGATATGCAGGCAAGCAGGAAGAACTGGCAAAGCTGTCACTTTTTTGCCTGCCTGTCCTGATCACTTGACAGGAAAACGTTATACCTGTGCTTTCTGGGTAAGCACGGCAAGACTAGTTCCAATCTCTCTGGTCACACCAATATCTATCAGCACTGAGATTCTTGTTAGAAAGCCCAGTGTGGTCTCACGGAAGCAGGGAAGTAAAAGAGGAGAGGGTACATAGAACTTGGATTTCCCACCAGATGCTGTACCTGGCAAAATGGGTATTATACGTACCCAAAGCTGGCCAGAACTCAACCAAACACTCCTGAACATGATAAGCAGAAAGACAAAAATTTAAGTTAGGCAGGTTTGAGTTAAGACAACTCATCATAGGTGTTACCTTTTCCTCACATTTAACCCTTTCAATGTGATCACTGAAGTGGAAGGTGGACACTAACATTAATTTGGACATTTGCTAGTATTGCTCTGTACCTTAAAGACTTCTAAAATCTGTGCTTATTTCAAACACTTCCACACAGGACTCCATTTGCCTCTAATAGGCTTGTTATATATGCAAATCACAGGCAAACGACAGTAAAAGTAAAGGATAAAATGCTGCAGCCTAGTTTTATTCACCAAAACCCCAATACACCTTCAAAAGACCTTTGTGAATTGAAATGCAAGTTATGTAGATCTGCCGACTTTATTACAATAATTTCTGAGTAAACACTACGCTTTTAGAAACTATTACTGAAGTGAACTGTTAAACTAGATACAGCAGCTCTGCTTGCAGCTGGCTTTGCAAAACTGGACAACTTGTTAACATGCTAATAAATGCATGTCTACCTGGCAGATAAGCTTTTTCAAATGCACAGCATGAGTGGGGAGCAATGTGATGAAGAGGATGATAATTTACAAGGCAAATGCTCTCTCCTGCTGCATTGAAACACACAGAAAACACTCTTGACTTCCACCAAAAAGGGGAGGGAAGTGTATCAAAAACATTTAAAACCCACCTTAAATAGAAAATAATCATGAAAGCTGCAGTTTGTAAATGGAATTACCAGCTATATTAAGACTGCCAAATGCAATTGAGGAACACTAATATAGCTTTCTTTTGAAACAGAATTTAAAAGCATTTTAGAGTGGGGAGTGGCTTGCAAGGTTTGATGTTTATGAAAAATTAATTTATCATTTCAAAGCAAATCATAAAGAACTCTGTCCAGAGCTGTATCAGCCCATCTGAGAGAGTTGTTCCCCACTGACTATGAAAGGAACTCTAACGCTCTTGCTGCTTAATAACTCTAATTTGATATTGTAAACATTTACAGATAAAATCTTGTTCATTAGGGATGAAGAATACTACATATCGCTCAGTGCTATCCTTTTCTTTAGAAGTTTCCTACTTCTTCTTAGAAGAGGAATGTTTTTCTACCAGTATTGTTAGGAAAGGGCTTGTCTTAAGGGTTCTCTTGAGAAGTCCTTCATCAAATGCACCCCAATGGGGACAGCTGAGAGTTGGTCCCAGTGCTCCCATTCAGTCCACCATCTGACTGTTAAGCTCCAAGAAACACTGCACATCATGAAAGCAGGAAGCTTCTCATTGTGCACAGTCTTTAACATTCAGAGCTACAGGTAAAACAGCAGCAAGCATTTTTAACTTCCGCTTTTTCACCAACCACCTCATTTTTGAAATATAAATACACGCTGTTCTTTTGAAAGGCCCCAAGGCTTTAACTCAACAAGCTTAACTAATGTTAAAACACATTTTGCCTTGTTTAGTGTCCTGGAAAATGCTAGCTAGAGAGCATATTACCGAAAAAATGTGAACATCGTACCAAGAAATCTTAATCGAAACAAAGCCTTTCCTCGTCTCAGATCTGAACAGTTCAGTAATATCGTGACACATTACCACGACAACTACAATATTGAAGGCAGCTGAGGAATCAGCCACTTGAAATGTCACATTTTTGTTCCTCAAAGGGAATACACAGAGTGTAAGCCTTCTGCACAGAGACTGAAAAAGAATAATACCTTTGGCATCATCAGAGCCTGAAGCCAATAGCTTTGGGTCCATCAAGTTAAAGTCAACACTCCAGCACCTTTTCTCATGCTCCTGTTTAGAGAAACAAGAAAAATATTGCAAGGTAGTGAGCTGTAATCTGATAAAATAGTAAAAGAAAACACACATGCTGTTTGGTATAAATTGTCAGGAGAGTCCTGAACAGAGAAGGTTACTGTGTTTAGTAGTTTCTCAAAAAATACCTTTTCTCCCAATCAGACCAATGCTTGTAGTATGCTTGGCATGCCATGAAAGCAAAAGACAGTAGAATAGCAATTTTAAAAACTAAAAACTGATTTTTTTTTTTTTTTTTTTTTTTTAAAAAAAAAAAAATTTTTTATTTTAAAAAAAAAAAAAAAAAAAATCAAAGTTCCCAGATGCTGTTTCTCAAGGCATGCTGTAGCTATAGTAGCTGATGGCTCAGATTCACATCCATGGAAACTGATATTTTACCTAAAACGGCTTTCCTGTCTCTCCAGTTTGTCATTTCTCAGTCTCCTAAGTAGCTTGAAAAAAAAAATTTTAAAAACAAAAAAATGATTTTTTTTTTTTTTTTTTTTACTTGAAAGAAAAAAAATTATTTCAGGAAACGTACATTAAAGATCTGTGTTTGCAGCACAGTTTGACTGGCTGTGGTTCCACCATGTGCTGCTGCTTATTCTAGTAGATCACAGCTGTATCTCCCAATACCAATAAGATGCCTGTTCAAAGCCATTTCAAACACCTCCTCTCAAAGTCCAGGAAATCCTCGCCTTCTTATTGAGTCCTTAAACAAAACTTCTGGTATCTAATCCTGTGGTTTTCCACTCAAACAAGTATTCTTACAAGGATGCACACTCTCCCCCAAAACACAAAAAAGAGTTGTATTTGCTATGCTGGCACATCCTCCATGTAAGCAAAACACTGCATTGAATGAAACCCAAAACTTCAGTCAAACCCTTTGTTTAAAGCCTTGCAAGACGATGATATGAAAAGCTCGCCAGGACAGAGTCACTAAAGGATTTCTAATACACATGAAGCAGATGTCAGTATGCATGCCTCTATGGAAATCCAAATAAAAAATTCAAGTAATCTGATAGGAAGCAAAATGAGTTTGTTTTAACATAAGCAACAGCTGGTCCTCTCTAGGTTCATTATTCAGCCTTATAAAGAAATGCAAAATATATTTGAGAGGAAAACAGACAAGGTTTATTTTGTCCAGTATAATTTCTTTTTAATTGAGATATGCAAAGGATTAGTGAAAGCAAGCATTATAAAACAGCCAAAACACAATGGAAAAAGTAAACAAAGGCTTCAATAGGAATTAAAACTTATGTTGAACTGTCAAGAAGGGGGAACTGAAGGCTAGTCTGCAGTTCATTCATTATCACTGACCAGTTTCAATGCACTATGCTACCCACACAACAGCCTGCAGCACTTCCAGCCTCTCCCCAAACGGACCATCTTCTCTTCCAACCTCCTTGTTCCGACTACAAGCCTCTAAGAATCCATTATACAGAAACACAATGTTCAAATTGCATGAAAAGACAAAATGCCAGAAAGTTCTCCTGAAGCAGGTCTTGCTGTTGACCTCAGCCCACTTGCATGCGTACACCACTCTGCCAAGCACAGGACTGTACTGGGAAGGGTTCTGCCTACTGCTCCATTCTCCCAGCCTCGCCACTTAAGTCCGCATTTTGCTCTTCTGATTTACGAGCACCTGCAGCAGCAATCACTGCAGGATTTTACAAAAGGCTTTTGACAAAGACTGAAGTGGAACAGGTATGGAGAAAGAGAGGTTTCTAAAGAAAGGCGAGAGAAACAACTTCCAAATAATTTCTCCCTGTGCAGATTCCCTACCCGAAAGCAGCAGCAAGAAAACGTCAACTGCCTCATGACTGTGACAAAAAGATATAGCTGCCTCCCTCGGAGGACAACAGCTCAGTAAAGCTGTCTGGATGAGACACATTGACCAAAGAGGAGGAGCATCCATTTCACCCTGTGGGAGATAAAAGGCTACTGCTAGACTAGAAGCAGAATCTCGGACTGAATACTGCTCCCCCAACGTGGTCCATGGTGTGGGAAAGTGTTGCTCATTGATTGCATGTTACCTGGTAGACCTTGGATCTTTGTCCCGTGAATCCATCCCAGAGGATGACGGTGCCTTCATAGTCACTGCTGGCTAGCAGGTTCTTGTGGTAACTACTCCAGCTGATACAGCTTAAAAAGAAAAAGAGTCCCAGTCAGTCTTATATTAAATCATACCTTACAACGCAAAAATCGCTCTTGTGATATGATCAGGCAATTAGTGTCTTTGCAAAGCATGCAGCCTTTGATCAAGCCACCCCACTGAAACACTCAGGAAAGGACAAAACTAAAACCCATGAGAAGCATAACAAACCTTCTTCCACAAGCTAAAAGAAAAGCTTTATTGGCTTAAGTGATATCGCCTCCCTCAATATGAAGTGCTAGGGCTTGGTTTTTGGTTTTTTTTTTTTTTTTTAAACATTTTCATCTTTAATACTGCGATTGTTTTGTTATTTGAATTCCACACAAATTCTCACAGAGAGCTCAGCGTTTGACTTAGCCTCTTGCCAATAGCTACTACTACTATTATTACCATAAAGATAACTACTTACCTAACAGAAGCTATGTATGTAAAACACACAGCTGCATGGATGGTAAATCAACCCCTCCCCTGGCACATATACAACGTTCTATACCTGTACCTATGTGCAAATGAAAGTTTGACTTCTGAGAAACTACTTCTAGCTTTCTGTAAATCAGGAAAGGTTCCCTTCCTATCAAGAAGGAAACAGCCATTTTTTGCTACGGACAGTTTAGGAGATGTTCCTGATCAAGAACTGCAATATATATTGCATGGGTTTATATTTTAAACGGAATTAAGTGGCCATGCAAAACTAAATGACAATTCCACCAACAAACTCTAACCATCAGCAGACAAAACAAGAGTAGTGACGCTGCCAAGTCACATTCGTAGTGTTCTGGCACTATGCCTCCGCTCTGACTCCCAAAAAATTTGACAGAGGTAAGAAAATTTGTAGTACTCGTTCACCAATTTTTGGACCATCTGGCACAAAAGCACACCAGTTGCTATCAACTGTGATGCATGTAGCAGAAGCTGAACTGACAGATCCAATTCGTGCAGGTCATCAAACAGCTCTGACACAGTTAACTAGATTATGGCAGCCTTGGGGCCAAGTTTTAACCAACAATATAAACTAGAAGTCCATGATTCTATAACTTTTTAGTACTGCTTTGATCAGTGCAGCTACATATTTCAATATGATGTAGATACATGGATACTGATTTAGGAGTATTATACCTTGGCAAATTCTTGGTTCCACTATACACATGCAGTCTGCTTCCCTTAGGAATACAGCATTTACACACAGGAGGTGAAAAATCCTTTTCCTTTTTTAATGCAGTTAAAATATATAAACACTGTTAAAGCAGCACTGGTGTTCTGCTCCTAAGTATGGTCAAAATTAACTTACTGGGGTGTGAGTTTTATAACTATGGAGGGACTACACACACCAATACTAATCGTAGCTCACTGCTATTTAGCTGCATGGAATCAACAAGCTTATTTAAGGTTCTGGAACAGCCAAATAATATGAGGCAAGAAACTCAACTGGTTTTTAAGACAAATTTGAAGAAATACATGAAAGGAGCAACATGCTATTGGTGCTT